GGGTTTGAACCGCCAGCCTTCTGGTTAGCAGTCAAGTGCCTTAGCCACTATGCTCCTGGTATTGTTTTGTAGCCACCTTGTAGTTATGACTCAGGCTTCATGATCATGAGTCACATCCGGATCACCACCTGACCAGGTAGTCAAGGCCTAGACCCAATCCTGTAACCCTTTTTATCTTTAATTATGCCCTTAATCATGGACTCCCCTCACTGCCCCCTTGCAGCAGTGTTGAATTGATCTGGTACCAATCATGATTTTGTGATGATTCCCTTTGTTCTCAATCATATATAATTAGCCCCATGCCTGTGACTCAGCAGATTCCATTCAGCTTTCTGTGTTGTGTGCTTGTTGATGGTTTTCCTCATCCCAAGATTAATCTTTGTTTTGTCTTTCTCTAAGGCTTAATAAAACAGGTTTCTGTTGAACCTGTTTGAATCTGGGGTCTCTTTCCCTCATTATATAACTCATGATCATGTATCCCTGAGTCAATGTCACTGGAACCTCAGCTGTTAAATTAGATAGCATGAGGCTGTTTTCAGTAAATCATTAAGGACAGGCCCAGGGAAGTTCTCTATTTCTTTGAGTTTCTTTCTGCTTACTAGTTAATATTTTCAAGCCATTCTTCCTGAGGGCAAAATGCCTCTCTTTGGGTTTGCCCCAGGACTTCTCAAAGGAGAGCCACATTGCTGGTTTAAAGGTTAGCAAGCATTGAACAAGTAAAGATAAAGAACTCTAATGGGTCTGAATTTATGTAAAACTCAAATTTGAAATAGGACTCCCGTATAGATTACAGCTTTCCACAATCCAAGTGCTTTAGAATTTAAACTCACACACAGAACTTACCTCTTGGAAAGAGGGGAGACATTGTTAAAATACCTTACTGACATATTTTGGACTGCCAGATGATACCAATAGTTCATATGTGTGTGTGTGTATGTATATATATATATGGGAGCTCTGGTAGCATAGTGGCTAAGGCACTTGACTGCTCACCAGATAGCTGGCAGTTCAAACCCATCAGCCACTCCTCGGAAGGAAGGTTGGGCAATCCTACTTCCGTAGTGATACTGCCTTGGAAACCCAAGGAGGGGTCGCTATGAGTCAGGGCTGACTCGATGGCACATAACAACAACAACAACATATATATATATATATATATACACATATACATATATGTGTGTGTGTGTGTATACATACACACACACACACACACACGATGTATAAAGTGCTTTACATACATCATGATTTTATGTGTACATTAAAAAATCAAAAAACCAAACTCACTATTGTTGAGTCAGATTTGACTCATAGCAACCCTTCCTTGGGTTTCTGAGGTGATATCACTATGGAAGTAGATTGCCCAATCTTCCTTCCAAGGAATGGCTGGTGGGTTCGAACCGCCAGCCTTCTGGTTAGCAGTCATATGCCTTAGGCACTGTGCCACCAGAACTCCTATGTGTACATTAGTGCTATGATTATTGACATCTTTGTTTTATAAGTGAGAAAATTGAGGCTTAGAGACTTTTTGAGCTCTAGACCCTGTGTTCTCTTAAACAAGAACTGAGTACTGGGAAATAAAAGCACAGGAAAGAAAAACGGAGTATAATACAAAAGTTTTACCTAAGATCTTGCTCATAAACAACCAATGAAATTGAAAATCATCTAATACCAGCCTTAATCAACTGTTTATTTTTCATTTAAAAAGTGGTAGTATTTTTGGGTTTAGATTGGAAATAGTAAAGTTAGAATTTTTAACATGTAATTGTAATTATTAAACCAAATTTAGTTTTGTTCTCATGCTCAAAATTCTTTTTACCTTTTCTTTCTTTTGCAGAAGATTCTAGTCCAGAAACTCCAGAAAATGAAAGAAAAACAAGTATATCATATTTCACGAATCAAAGAGGAATACAGTATATTGACTTGTCTTCTGATAGTGAAGATGTTGTTTCCCCAAATTGCTCGAATACAGTTCAAGAGGAGAAATACAGCAAAGATACAGTGATTATAGTGTAAGACACTAAATACCAGATTCATTCTATTTGTGTGTTAAGAGATCTCCCCCCCCCAAAAAAAACAAACTCAGATTGATCAGAAAGAATTACTTAATTTTAAGTATTTTGGTGACTGACTTTATTTCATTCCCTTTCCTGAGTTTTATCCCCTGAAAACTTAAAGATGTAGGGAATTAAAATGTGGTTTTGTTCTGTTTTTTAGATAATTGTGATTTTCAGTAAAAAGTTTGTTGTAACTAAAAATTTAATTTTTTCTTAACTCTCCATAAACAGGGAAATTATTTTGACAGGTACCTTTGGTATTTTTTAACTGCTCTGTGATTTCTTTTTGAGTCCATGAATGAAATTACTTGTATTTATCTGTTGTATTCTATGAGCTCAGCACTGCATTATGATTAGGAATACAGCAGTGAACAAACCAGCCCCAAATATCTGCCCTCACAGGTTTATATTCTATTTAGGTAAAAGACAATAAACAAGAAAACATGAAGTGTTTTAAGTGATAAGTTTTATAGGCAAAAGAGAAAGGAAGTAGAGTTTAAGGCTGGGATGGGTGCATGATTTCTACAGAGCACTGTTGGAAAAGGCTCTACTGAAAAGATGGTGCTGAAGCAAAGACCTGGAGAGGGTAAGAAAATGAGCTATGTGGATATGTAGGGAAAGGGTATTCCAGGCATTAGGAATAGCACTCTCAGTTACAATGAGGTGGTATTGTGCCTGATGTTTTTGAGGAAAGTGGGAGATAAATGAAGTGGAGTAAAGGACCTTAGGTTTTGACATAAGGGATCAGGTGGACAAGGGGCTTAATCCTGATAGGTTCATAGGTAGTTTGGCTTTTACTTGGAATGAAATGGAAAGCTAAAGGAGAGTTTTAAGCAAAGGAGTAAAATGTGACTTAGATTTTTAAAATGTCATGCTGTAGGAATACAGGAGTAGAAATAGGAATTCTAAAATGCAGTTGGGGAAGAGCAGAAAATTAATGTGGAATTATTGTTGCTGTTTTTACTAGAAAGAGAAAACACCATCTGTTTTCCAAACATTATCTTGTTACATACTATTTTTGTATTTTTAGTTGACAAAAGGTTCAGTTCTACTCAACTTGTACCTTTTTTTTTCTATACAATA